GTGCTAGCAATAGCCTAGCTATATTGTTTATGATTAAGCATTTAGCAACACTAAACAATACTTAGCATATACCACTTAGTACTTAAATATACTATTTACAACTGTAAACCACATAACTAAGCAAATGTGTGATTCAAAACAACTATTTACAACTGTAACTTCATCTAAATCTTCCACACGGTTAGCTAAACAGATAGCGGTACATAGTCCTAGCGTCCTCAAACGAGTGCTTCACTTTTACTGACATCCTAGCCTGCTACTACAATCAAAATTTGTCAAATTTCAAACTCCATATGAAGCTAGAGACATTATTGTGCATAAATAAATTGATTTCATTCATAAAATGTTGATAGAATTTTTACCTGAGGCATTTTTCTTCTGTAAACTCTTGTAGAAGTCTTTTGCTGATATTCCCACCATTTTTTTCCTACTGCCTTAAGTGTAATTCTATCATATCACCACAAGATGGCGCGGGCAGTGTCCCTAAATGTGGCCATCAGGTCAAGGATGTAAAAAATTGAGTATCATTGTGCCAAGAGGCAAAAATGTAATGTCCTCGTATGAGGTCGCAGGGTCTCAGGAGGTTAAATGGGTGTGCAGAGTCATATGTAGCACTTCAAGAAGCATTCTTTTCCCGTCGCCAACAGGAGGGTGAGACCCTGTTGGAGTTTTCTCTCGCGCTCATGTCACTAATGGATAAAGTTAAACAGCGTGCCCCGAACGTAATGCCAAATGCAGAGAATCTCTTGCGTGACCAGTTTGTCGAACAGGTCTTAGAGGGAGGGTTGCGCCGTGCGCTAAAACAGTACGTACGCGGCCAACCTGAAGCAACATTACGTGACGTCAGGAGTGAGGCTATGCAGTGGGAGCGTGAGGGGTTGCCCGTGAGCATGCGTGGCCGCAGTAATTCCGTCCCCTCCTCTTTTGGAATCCAGTACGCTGTCCAGGGAGGGTATCAGCGTGGTGTCAAACCTCCTCAAGCTACGGAGGTCAGTGAAGTTAAGGAAATGTTGCGGCGTCAACAAGAGCAAATTGATAGATTGTCGCAGAGCATTGCTTGCTTGCAGGGTCCCCAGCCGTTTAACCAGCGTAACTTTAACCGTAATGGGCCCCGCGTTTGCTGGCGCTGTCAGCGACCGGGGCACATTGCGAGGGACTGTGATGGGCAACGTGTCCCCCTTCGTTCGCAGCTGCCGATGGACGGGCACCCCCAATCATCCCGGCCGGCGGAAAACTAGCGCCCACCGTGCTGAATGGCCACAGTTCGAGTGGGCCTCCTTCTGGCCCCAACCATGCTTTGCGAAATCTGGAAGATGCACCCAAGTTGATTTCTTCATGTCCGCACATTGACGTTAGTATGAGCGGTGTTTCAGTACCATGTCTGGTGGACACGGGCTCAATGGTCTCTACCATAACGGAGAGTTTCTTCTTAGAGCATTTTGCACCTTGGGGGGAAGACAGACTTAAGGCTTGCCATTGGCTCAAACTTAAGGCAGCGAATGGCTTAGCGATACCTTATATTGGCTATATGGAACTGAATATCGCCTTGTGTGGGAAGCTAATACAGCAGTGTGGCATCTTAGTCGTAAAGGACCCAGTAGGGGAAGCACTCTCAGTGGTACCTGGCGTCTTAGGGATGAATGTCATCCGCAAATGTTACCAGGAGCTGTTCGGGGAACATGGGCTCTCCCTTTTTGGGGCGGAGTCGTGCTCTTACCCCACCACTCTCATGAAGGCCCTGCAGCGGTGTCACAGAGTGCGCCTGCAGGCCCCATTGGACCATCCAGGTAAGGTGCGGGTACGGGGAAAGCAGGCTCACCACGTCCCTGGTGGTTCCATGAAGATCGTGGCAGCAACATGTTCAGAACAGTTTTCAGAGGGAACAGTTTTGTTCGAACCTCCCGAGTATGGTCTACCAGCTGGTTTGCTGTCTTCGCCAGCCTTGGTACAGGTTGTGCGAGGGACTGCTTATATCCCGATTGTGAATGTGGGTACCACTGAAGCGCTTCTTCACCCCCACACTGTCATAGGTACGTTGGATTCTGTTCGGGTCGCCAGTATGCCCACATGCGTTGAGCAGAATTCAACAGTCACAGCACAAAATTCTTCGCAAATTGCATCTGCCGAGGTGGACCAAATTGATGCAGTAGACCTGTCCAGTCTACCCCCGGAGGAGCAAGGTGCTGCGAGGACCCTCCTCCGGAGGTATGTTTCAATTTTCTCCACTTCAAACCAGGACCTAGGATGTACAGATCTGATCACACATGACATTCCTTTGTTGGATGACATCCCTGTCAGACAACGGCATCGCAGGATTCCCCCATCGGAGTTTGAGCTAGTAAAGGACCACATCAACCAGCTTTTAGAGGCTCGTGTCATTCGCGAGAGTTCAAGCCCGTACGCCTCACCAATAGTTCTGGTTCATAAAAAGGATGGTAGCCTTAGGCTTTGTGTGGATTACCGGCAGTTAAATCTGAAAACTCGGAAGGATGCGTTCCCTCTCCCGAGAATAGAGGAGACGTTGGATAGCTTGTCAGGCGCCTGTTGGTTTTCCACCTTAGACTTGGCAAGTGGGTATAACCAGGTGCCGGTCACTGAAGCCGACAGGCCCAAAACTGCGTTCTGCACACCATTCGGGCTCTTTGAATGGAATAGAATGCCCTTCGGGCTATGCAACGCGCCCAGCACCTTTCAACGACTCATGCAAAGGATCTTCGGGGAACAGCAGGGTCAGTCCCTGCTCCTTTATCTTGACGACATAGTGGTCTTTTCCACTAACATCCAACAACATCTAGAGAGGCTTGAGGGGGTGTTGAGGCGTTTGCAGCTTGAGGGCTTGAAGGTCCAGCTACGCAAGTGTAGTTTCTTTCGCCGTGAGGTCCGATACTTGGGGCATATTATTTCGGACCAGGGGGTCTCCACTGACCCAGACAAGGTTGAGGCTGTGGCGAATTGGCCAGTACCCACCAATGCCACGGAGATCCGCTCGTTCTTGGGATTCGCGAGCTATTATCGCCGCTTTGTGGAAGACTTTGCCAAAGTAGCAGCGCCACTGCACAGGCGGGTGGCAGTCTTATCCGGGAAGTCGCAGAAGAGAAAGCCGGAACCGAACATCGGACCTTGGAGTGAGGAATGTCAGGAGAGTTTTGACTTGATAAAGGCCAAACTGTCGACCGCGCCAGTGTTGGCCTATGCCAACTTTTCATTGCCTTTCATCCTGGAAGTTGACGCGAGCCATAACGGCTTGGGAGCGGTGCTCTCTCAAGAGCAAGGGGGAAAAGTGAGGCCAATTGCTTATGCGAGTCGCGGGTTGAGGCCCACCGAGCGGAACATGAACAACTACAGTTCTATGAAACTTGAACTGTTAGCGCTCAAGTGGGCCATGACAGATAAATTTCGCGAGTATCTGTTGGGCCATAAATGCGTTGTATTTACGGACAACAACCCGTTAAGCTACCTTTCTCATGCAAAGTTAGGCGCAGTAGAACAGCGTTGGGCAGCCCAGCTTGCCTCGTTTGATTTTGAGATTCGTTATAGGTCAGGCAAGAGCAATGGCAATGCGGATGCCCTGTCGCGGCAAAGCTGTGTTGGTGCTGACCAGCTGGCAGTGGTGGTTCCAGGCACCTCTCTGCCCTTTTGCTTGAGAGACCTGGGACAAACCCAAGTGGAGGTTGTCCAGGCCACCATTCAGGCTGCCATTGCTGCTTTCCCTGGACACACCTTATTGGACATTCAGGATTTGCAAAGATCTGATTCTGTCACCCAGGAAGTGGCCCGTTTTTGGGAGCTTAACCGTCGCCCCACTTATGAAGAACGTTGCCGGATGTCCCACTATGCTTTGGTGTTGCTCCAGCAGTGGGATCGGTTGGTAAAAAAAGATGGGCTGCTCTACCGGAAGGTCGACCGTCCGGATGGTGGGGAAGGGGTTTTGCAGCTTCTCTTGCCGAACAACTTGAGGGAGGAGGTCTTGCATCAAGTTCACCAGCAGCACGGTCATCAGGGTGTGGAACGCACCTTGTCCTTGTTGCGGTCCAGGTGCTATTGGCCTGGAATGGCCAAAGATGTGGCTCAATGGTGTAGGGAGTGTGTCCGCTGCCAGGTCGCAAAAGACACCCGGCCTCCCGCCAGAGCATTGATGGGCCATCTCTTGGCGTCCATGCCCAATGAAATCATTGCTCTTGATTTCACTTTGCTGGAGCCTTCTCAACAAGGTTTTGAGAATGTTTTGATTCTTACAGATGTGTTTAGTAAATACACCCTCGCTATCCCAACTCGAGATCAACGAGCTCAGACTGTTGCTCAAGTTTTGGTTTCGGAGTGGTTCTCGAAGTTTGGTGTTCCAGGACGCATCCATTCTGACCAGGGGCGCTGTTTTGAGAGCCGTGTGATACAGCAGTTGTGCAGTCTCTATGGGGTCGAAAAATCCAGGACCACCCCATACCATCCGGCCGGAAATGGCCAGTGCGAACGGTTCAACCGGACAATGCACAACCTACTTCGCGCCTTGCCAGAGTCCCGTAAGCGGGACTGGTGCTCGTGTTTGCCACAGGTTTTGTATGCTTATAATACTACCCCGCACCAGTCTACCGGAGAGTCTCCTTTCCTCCTGATGTTTGGTCAGGAGCCAAGACTCCCAGTGGATTTCCTTTTGAGCAGAGTCGTGGAACCGACAGCCGGAGAACCTTGCGAGTGGATCGCGGAACATCAGACACGGTTGCAACTAGCATTTGATGGGGCAAGGTCCCGCATGCGACAAGCTGCAAACCGTAGGAAGGAGCATCACGACCGGTGGGTGCGAGATGTTCCGCTGGCAGAAGGTCAGCGGGTATTGTTGCGTAACTGGGGGGCAAAGGGCCGTTGCAAGATTAAAGACATGTGGTCTTCCCAACCTTATCTTGTGGTGCGTGTACCACCCCCAGGGGGCGCGGTCTACACGGTTGCTCCAACACATAACCAGACTCTTCTTCGTCAGATCCACCGGTCTTCCATCAAACCGCTATATGGTGGGGTTCCCAGTCCTCCTCCTTCGGGCCCACCGCCACCAGTGGCGCCACGTGCGCCGGAGGAGCTGCCCGAGGGGGATTTGTTCATGGTGGTACCAGGGCCAGCCCCTCGTATCGAGTCTGCCGCCCCAGCCGCCCACTTACCTCCACTTGTGAGGGATGGTCCCGTGGTTCACCCACCCCCACAGGAGTCGATTGCTAGCTTTGTTTTACCGGTCGGGAACCTCGAATTGCGCCGGACGAGGCGTGCTACTGCAGGTCGCCATCCAAATCCCCATCGCTTACCTCGAGCCCCAGTGGCCGACCTGCACTCCGCTGCTTTCATTTAGGGCTAGAGTGGGTTGATCGTCGGGGCGACGATTCAGGGAGGAGGGGCGGAATGTGGTGGTACACCTGTTTTTCGTGAGCGCTCCTATCAGCGCTCTGGCTCGCAGTATTTAAGGACAGCCCTTTTCCCATGCACTCCTGTTTTGCCTCGCCTCTGACGTCGGGACGCTGCTCGCTGGTGGCGTCCAAAGCACCTGTTTGCTTTGGATCCAGCCCCTACACCGGCTTTGTGCCCCAGCGGGCACGCTGATTTCAAACTGCGTTCCGGTGAGTGCTTGCGGCCGGCCTTGTGGCTTTATTTGGCACAATATCTTAATGTAGTCTCTTTTAGATTGTCCATGATCCCGGCACAGCTGTGGAGTAGGGACAGAGCGTGGCGATTGCGCAACCCCTCCACAGGTGCAGCGCTCTGATCTCTTGGTGAGTGTTAGAGCCGGCTTTCTAACTTTGTTTTGAGTCGTTATTGAAATGTAGTTGTTCTTAGGGACACGGGCAGGCACCCTTTACTGCAGACGCAATCCTGTTCTAGTACTGGTAAGCATTTAAAATAAATCTAGTTCTTATTGTCACCTATAAATATATATCCTGTCTAGGCTTTGTATGTGCGCGTCTCGGGCCTCTGTGGCTCCTAGTGGCTTGTACGCGGGATCCTTGGAGTGCTGCATGTGGGTATACTGCACCACTCATATAGGTTTATTATTTTAATTCATATCAAATTTAATTATTTCATTTAGCTCTGCGCGGGTCTCCCCTTCTGGAACCTGGAGAAACGCACCACCCTCACTGCTACCACAGACTATAACCACGCGCGCCCTACGGGCCTCAGTGCGGGGCACGGAGGCGCGTGGGTTCTTCGGAGGCGTTTGGGCCTGGCGGGGGCTGCTGCGGGATCGCTGCTGCTGGTTGGAGCAATGGGCCTCTAGTGTGGCCAACGAATAATAACTGAGTCACATTTTACAGTGAGAGTGGAGATTCCGGCGTCGTTGAATGATCTGTCCTTTAAAAAAAACTGTCAAATAAATTGTGTTTTTGTACTATATTGCCTCCTATTCCTATCAGTCCACGAATCTGTGTGCCCTTTATTATTTCTGTCCTTAACGGGTCCCAGTCCCCGTATACTGGGTGGCGTTGCTAATAATATTCTATTTAATTAGGCTAACTTCCCAAATTCATAGTCTCGACTATTACATATACTTACAAGTTGTGTTTCTGTGTCCAGTGCAGAGAGCCCGTGGGGCCGTCTCTGGGGGAGAAGGTTCCCACGTTTGTGCCGCTGTCGGAGGCTACGATCTGCATGAGCTGCTTCTCCGACTTCAGCCTCACTTCTCCGAGTCAGCACTGCCACAGCTGCGGGAGGGTACGGCACTTTGAACACGCCTTTCTCACATTTAGGTTTTGTTATTTGTGCTCCCTTGAGCATATCAAGGTGTGATGTCAGTGCAGCCCTCGCTGATAGTCGTGGGTAATATGGCATGTTGTACATCATTTTAAATCTACTTTTATCAAGAAAACAACCACTGTATTCATATTATCAGAAATACTGAACCCTGAAGGCAAGAAGTCAGAATTCCAAGTGAATGAGTACACATTAGGCAGCCCAGTCTTTAATACAAAGACAAGACTACACTCAAAGAAATGATTCAGGTGGTTAGTATTTTGAACTCAAAATACATACTAAACTAAACTCAATAATTGATTTTTGCCAGTTTTACTTAAATTAGTGTGGTCGCAACTCATTTTAAACATGCCCGCCTCAATTAAAAGTTAATACAAGAATCCTAACTCATTTTTGTAACAAATTTGAACTTGATAATCTGGCAGAACTGGACAACGGAGAAGTATTGAGTTTGCTCAACATGAAAATCCTCTTGTAAGCCTGGTGGCCCATTAATGAAAAAACAAATATATTGAGTTGATTCAAAATAAATATATTGAGTTGATTCAAAATAAATATATTGTGTTGATTGAAAACAAAATGTGGCGAAGCAGTGACCCTACCCAGAATGCATTGCAGCGAAAAATATAAACTTCTTAAAAATTCTACATTTGAGCATTAATTTTAAAACTGAATATGAAGCAAGTCCAAAAGCAAAATACTTGAGCAACATTCTGAATAAACTAATTTGACCAAATAAGTAATTGTATTTATTTTTATCAACCATGATCGAGAGGGCCAAGCCAAAGCAGTCCTATACTCCCTGTGTCACCCTTCAATTTTGAACAAATACTTTAAGGTGGACATGTTTACCAGTGACTGTGCTGGCCCACTCTCATATATATGTGGAGTGAGAGACTACTGCCTAAAATTAACAATTGTGAACCATTGTGTGAATCTAATCTTTGAAAGATGGAATTTGAATAAAGATTACGTGTTCCTGACTGAAAATCACTTGTTGAATATACTCAAAAAGATTTATTTTCAATGTAATTATTTAAGTTGGTAGTATTGTTAAAATTGAGTTGAACTGATGCTAAAACACTTGCTGAATATACTTAACAAAGTGTCTTTATAACTCAATTATCCAAGTTGGTGGTATTGAAAAAATTGTGCTGGACCAATGATAAAAGACTTACAAAGAATACTTAAAACACAGTCTTGTTCGCAAAACTTAAAAAGATGCATGCAAAATGCTGCCTCAATTTTATTAAGTTTTGCCAATGCATTTTTTTTTAGAGTGTAAAGAATAAATATGTATATTAAAACATAGATAAATACTGAAATGTAAGTATTTATTCGGTAAAAGTGGCTTCATGATTGTGAAAAGCCACAGAATAATGCTTGTTTTCATCTCTCTGTTTTACAAGCACAACAGGTATTTACTTTCTCTAGTGTTATTATTAAAGAATGAGTCAGTCCAGGAGCTAAACCGAGTGTGCAAACGGAAATAGTTTGAGCAGTTTTAGTAGTTTAATTCTTTCTCTGCAGGTGCATGGATCCAATACACATATATTCTGCACAGACACAAACATGTGATAAATACACCCCTTAATGTGGCCCAGCTTCCCCCAGACTTAACCTAACGTCAGACCCCTGATTTGGACCCATGTTCGGTATCATTATATGATTGTGTTTCAGATCATTTGCCGAAACTGCTGCAAAAACAGATTTCCCCTGAAGTACATGAGGTATCGAATGTCCAAAGTGTGCGACCGCTGCTACAGTGAGCTGAAGAAGAGAGGTGAGATGCACAAACACAGCCTGAGGATAAACTGTATCATTCACTTTTAATACATTTAATGTCAATAAGAGATAAAGCACTGGTTCCCAACACCTGGTCCGCAGCCTGGGACCGGGAAGCAAAGGAAGAATTGTTCTCTGAAACTATTTCCATTTTTAATATCAAAGACTAAATGATGCTTTGTTTTGCTTTTACTTTTTATTGTATTGTTTTAGTATCTAGTGATTCATCTGAAGGAGCTCTCTGCACTGGGAGCGGTGTCGGCTGAGGGTCTGGCTCTTGGACCTCTGGGTCCTCTGGGGTCTGGCTCTTGGAGGTGGTTCTCTGCTCCTGGTGCAGACAGCTCCTTGGATGGCGCTTCTTCAGCTGGCTACACCCAGCCCTTTTTTTTTTTCATAGATTTACCTATTTTAACTATTTGACGTGCCCCACTGGCACAAAAGTGGCCAAAATGAGTGGCGGGACCACTCGCTGCCATTTTGGATAGCTCCAGTAGAGCACTATTTTTGGCCCATTAACGGCGGAGATAGGCCTGACTCTGTCCGTTAATATAAACAGTCTATGGTGTTTGTGTGTAATCCTTGTGCTATCCCCGCCACAGTGATTGAAAAATACAAAAAAAGTGATTGGTGGATTGATTGATGAGCTCGTAATGAACTGTTTGTCTAATGGAGTCCTGATCCGCAGCAGAGGAGCCGAGTGCCGTCAGTCCGCGGCCGTCCCGCTCGAGTCGCCCTCTGTCTGCGGTGTTCCAGAACATCCACGCTCCCAGACACCTGTGGAGACACCGCAGAGGAACGCTCTCTTTCAACCAGGTTTGTGTTCTCTTTAGCCTCTTCTCTCTTTATTGTGGTCTTGATAATGTTTTAGAATGTGGATTTTTTTTTTTAAATAACTATGTTTTTGGTAAGGACATGATGTTGTAACATGATTTAGATTAAGATATCCTTTATTCATCTCACAGTGGGGAAGTTTCAGAAAAAACGTTGGAAAAACACGGCATGTCTCACGTCCTATGTGGGCAGTAGCTTCTCCCAGCTGTATTATGACAGCAGTTGCAGAAAAAGAAAAAAAATAGAGTAAAAAGTAAGAAAAGTGGGAAGGAGGGAGAGCGATGCAACTTGCAGCCGGCACCCGCCCGTGAAATGCAGTGGTTTAAATTGTAAAAATAAAAATAAAACCCTCAATATTATGTGTCTTTTTCAGCAATTTATAGTGACACAGAAAAAAGGTGGAGCCCTGAAACTTTATAAGAAACAGAGGATTCGTACAATCATGAAAGATTAAATTAAGGAAAAGAAGTACAATGTCGCTGTATAGAAAGTCTGCTTTTCCATTGTCTGTTTCATGACCTGATGATGGAACCTCTTCTGACCCTCTTCAAACTGACAATGTTATAGTCAGTTCTTCTTCATTCTAGTGCTCCAGACAAATATATTGAATTGAACACAGATTATGGGCTGAAATGTAATCCCTTCATCAGTTTTGTCAGTTTCATTCCCGTTGCTATAAGTTTGTCTGTTCTTATTTGGTCCTCAGGTGATGGTCTGTGAGGAGGGGGCGCTCAGTGGGACTCTTCAGCGCAGCAGAACCAAGAGGAACTGGAAACGACTGTGGTTTCTGCTCAAAGACAAAGTGCTGTACACCTACAGAGCTCGAGAGGTGAGGAACCATATGTGTGTAACAGGAGCCGACTCACCATAGAGTACGCCTCGATTGAGAAGAGGCTGATTTAAACACAAGCTGATGGAAACAATTTATTTACATGGAAGTGTGATGTTCCTTGCAGGAGAAAATCGCGGCGGAGACTTTGCCGCTGCTGGGATTCACAGTCAAACCTCCCGACAGAGTTGTGGGTGACGACGAGCCCACGGTGTTCCAGCTGTATCACAAAAACACACTTTTCTACACGTTTAAAGCAGAGGACAACTTCACCGCACAGAGGTGAGGAGAGAACAGTCCCTCGAGCATCAAATGGAACAGATTCAAGCTGAGGCATGGAACCGTTCTCCATAAAGTACACATTTTGTCATGACTCTTATAAAAGTTGTTTATTTGTGTAGCATAGTTCCTACACAAGGCAACTCAAAGTGCTTAACAAAACAGTTAAGAAACAAACAAACAAACAAGGAATTAAAATTATCTTTTTTTATGCACTGAGAAGTTACAGTACATTAAAAAGAGTGAAGATACAATCATTTCATTGTATTCACAGCTAGAAAGAACTGTTTTTACAGATAAATAGAATGGGTTTCATCCTTTTGTGGCACAAAGGCTGAGTGGTTTGCATGTTCTTCCTGTGTTCAGTCCAGTTCATATTTTTTATCTGAGCTCAGAGCAATACACAGAGTTGATACAGCAAATACAATTTTGTCCAAGTGCTATAAAGAGCTCCAAACAAGAAAGCAGGAGTAAAACATTTTGTTCATCCAAACAGAATCTCTGAAGAGGACAGAGTTTTGATCATTGAAGTGGTATAGTGCCATAATTTTAAACTGTTTAAAACTAGGAGACTTGAGTCTGGCCGAAGACGCTAATGGCAAGGACTGGGATAGGGTCAGCGTGCCTCAAGTTTTTTATTAAACCAATGCATTATGCAAACCAGGATTATTTTAATTTCCAAAAATATTCAGATTCACATTCATTTTATTTGGCATTTGCAGTAAAACCACATTGGAATCCATGTGCAGAAGTCCCCAGTGTGCACCAGACAAGTACATAAATAAAACAACCTACAAATGTCACAGTGAAACCAATTAATAAAAACCGTTTCAATACAAGTGCAAGATTACAGTCCTTTGTTCAGCATATCGAGATGTCTGCATCTCAGCAAACAACATCTTCTGCCAAAGGGAAGAAGCTGGAACATGGCTTTCCCAGGAGTCTGAAAAGACAATAGTTATTTTGAAAGCTCGAATTCATAATATTTTTTCTTTAAGCCACCTAAACCATCTGTTTGTGTCTCCCACAGATGGGCCAACGCCATGGAAGAAGCCACGGTTTTATAGTGACCATAAGATCCCACAGCTGCTCCTCTAAACCGCCTCCAGGACTGCCAGAGGGGGGCGCTGTTGCTTAGGTCCCCTGCAGCAGGTGGTCCCAGGGAGAGCGGCCTAGATGCGCGGTCTGACCTGTATTCATGCAACTGGTTCATTCACGGTTGAATCATGGGGAATGTTGAGAGATATTCTATTTATACGTTTGTTCAGTGGAGATGCATCTTCTCTGGCCACATGTATTCTGAAGTGCGAAAGACAGGGCTGGTTTTCAGATCAGAATCAGATTAATTTTATTGTTAGTCACAAACTAGTTATTATCTCAAGATGTAAACAAGTTATGAGATTAAAAAGGACAAGGCATGCATAAAAAAAATAATCCTTAAATGTCTATATACAAGTACACAGTAGAAGTAAGTAATGGAAAATACATTTAATGAGTTTTACACCAATCAGGAAGCAAAAAAGTGAAGAGAAGTTGGAAAATGTGATATTTTTATTACAGTTCAATTCAATGTATTTGTGTATCATCCAATATCACAACAGCAGTCGCCTCAGAGGACATCACAAAGTTGTCTATAAGCCAACAACAGATCAGAGAATCAAACCGGCATCTACACAGTGTGACTCACAAAGCTGTATGTATGTGATCCTTTGGGGGCTCGGTTCATTATTGTTATCAAATCAGTCCTGTCTACACCAGGATTTCTACTTTCAGAAACGTAAGATTGAGCAGTGGCCAGTGCTCTTTGCATCTCTCCACAAATTGCCTTCAAATAAGTGCTTTTCTATTTCATGTATTTACTAAGAGTACCTCTGTAATAATGCCTTGTACTGTATAACACTGGTTGGTTGTTCTGACTGTGCTTTTTTGCACTGAGTTTCATTAAAATAAACATAGATGAATATGGTATAAAACGAGAAATGAAAAAGTCAAACTGAACTACTGTAACTAGACTCTATTGAATATATTGTAAAGCTGATGGTGTACTGGACCATATTGAGGCTATTGTCGAATGTGGCATCAAATACAGATAATTTAACCAATGGAATTTCTCTTGTTTCTTGTCTTTAATCGTATGTATTGTGTTGCGCTGCATACAAGAGTAATAACTGATACAAAACAGGGAATTCTGCACATGCTATCATTTAAAGGAGCAGTATGTAAACATCTGGCCAAAAGTGGTACTGCACTCTCCCTGACTCAGGTTGCCAGATATGCAGATGAATGCAACAACACATCTATTCTTGGGTTTCATTAAACTGGCCAGTAGGGGGCGAATGAGCAGAGGTGGGACAACTCAGTTTTGCTCCCACTGAAAACCATGTAAATCTTGTCTGTTTTGGAGTCAAAAGGCTCTCCTCCTGTGCAGTGTACGGTTGTTGTAACAGTCTTAATCGGGGACACTCAATTCTAAGGGAGTACTAAAAAATATTTCTCAAGAGTCTTGATTTTGGGCATTTTTGGAAAAATAAACAGAAGAAATTGTTGCGTTTCATTGGGGTGGCCTGCAGGGGGCGCTTATCTGGGAAAGCCCTGATCCACCTCGCCCGCCTCATTCCAGTGATTTTTCAAGTGTCCTCCTTTATATGAGACCACAGTTGGAACACGGAACAAACTCTTGTCTTTCTCTCTATTTGTGCGGTTGCTACAAGCGTACACCGCACAGAAAGATGGCATTTTGACAGTACTTCTTCTTCTACTATATCTCCGTGTATTAACCCGGCAGACTGCACCGCCAGGATACGTCACGTCCTGTCCTACGTTTGTTATTCGCGCCACTGCCCTGACGTCATATGAAACTCAAGAATAACACCTTTTTCACAAAGATAGAAATCATGGTTTTTAGTTTAGTTTAGTTTATTCCAAGCCGGTACAATACAACACAAGATAAAAATAAATACATTACAAAGTTATACAATATTAACACATCATTAGAGAAAGAGAAAACAGCTTTAAGGGCGTGGGATGAAGACAAGATTTTTTACTCCCACCCCCATGGAGTTTTAATCCTTGTTTTGTCATTAATAATGTGAGAATCATAACGAGACCTTTTTTAGTTCTGTGGTCACATGTTACTTTACCAGTGAGATTAGCTTGACGCGGTTAGTTCTGGCAACCCGGATCACAGATTTTCTGATTGGTAAAACGGTGGAGGGCGGGACATTTATATGAAAATAATCATCTTTAGGGGCTGGAAAACTCATTTTCAAATATCTCGGCTGAACTACTCTTATCAGTTAAAGAAGTATTTGAAAAGAACATGTTTTGTTAATGCCTTTTGACAGATTAAGGCCATTTAATGATGATTTGACATGAAAATCTTGCAAATTGCTACTTCAAAGTTTTTTCTCCCTTCCCCTCCCCACCTTCCATGGGTTCTCCCTTCCCAACATACAGTAAATATACTTACACTTTCACACAACCCCCACATTGCTATTGTTGTAAATGAATCATGAAAAGCCCAGACCTGCTCCAACAAGGTTCATTTGGTCTTCTGATAGATTCTACAAGTTGATTCGTTTTTTAAAGAGAAAACTCCCCATATGGCTATCTCCGACCGCTGTGAGAGAAAGAATCACATTATGGACTGGGACGAAGCAAACATCAAAAGGGCTGAAGACAACAAAACATTGATACTGGATCAAAGAGACAATAGAAATACAAAAACATTACCCCTGCAGGACTATAAACCGGGACATGGGGGCTGTTTTACTGTCACGCACCTGGGATTCTGTCTTGAAGAAGTCAAACTGCAGATGGCGCTGTAGTGCTGTCTCTGGTGGTGGGAAGACAAAGTAAAATCTGAGTAAAACAGCTGACAAGAGGAACATTGCATGACCCCTCTGTAGTCGTCTCCTGAACCGTCCAAACTCGGAAGTACAAAATAAAAATACATTTTGGTCTTAACAAAATCAGAATGTTTTGAAGAAGCAGGTTCTTGTGACCTCAGATCAGATTCATTTATTTGCCATTTGCAGTAAAACCACATTGGAAAACTGTGCAAGACTACCCCGGTGTGCGCCAGACAGAGAAGACGACACACACCAGAGCTCTTGCCACGGCGCCATCTTTCCGGCGCCATGCAATTTTTATTTTTTTTTTTTTTATTTTTTTTTTTTTCAGATTCAGATTCATTTATTTGAACAAAAGCACCTGGCAACAAAATCAGGTCTACTTAAAAATAGTATCCGTTGACTGTGAACTGATTTAATCCTGATTTAGATTTGGATTCATTCTTGCATGTAGTGAATGAAGTTTGGGAGACTTTAAAGTGCCTTTCAAGTGAAAGGGTTTATTGAATTTATCATTCCCTCCTAAACTGATCTAATGTTGTGTAATCCTCATCTGGCCCAGACACTATGGCCCCCCAGAAAGTCTGTGCCCTAAACCAAATCAAGTTGAATAGCTGGTGTGTCCATCTTTGTCGGTCTCTTGTGGTCAACGTCATGAAAATACAATGGAAGGATTTAGCGTGACGAGTGGGAGGAAGGACTGATGACCTGATACACATGAGAACTGAATCAAACAATATTTCAACACAGGTCTTTGTAGATTTTCGGCTGGAGTCAGGAGTTTTGTAAATGCTGTCTATAGGGTTTCCTCTAGATCAGAGAAAAGTACACTTTCATTCAAGGTGTATCAACCCAGAGAACAGAGTGAAAAAAAGTGGTAAAAATAAGATAAACTTTACTCGTTCCTCAGTGGGGAAATTTCTGTGTTGCAGAGCACAGGGCAGGACCACACACAATGAATGAATGAATAATAGCGTTATTAGTCCCACAGAGGGGGAAATTACAATTATATACTGTATGTAACTGTAAATGCCTCTTAAATGTGGCTGAAGTATAGAGGACTGTATATATATTCTAAAAGGTAAATTAGAGTAAGGGCAGAATAAATAGATAAAAAGACAAGTGGACATTTGTAGAACTATATTGCACATTCTAACAGTATCGCACTAGTTTTCCCAACCACAAGAAAAACATATTTACTTTAGACTTACCTCATCTTTGACCTCTCCCCTTCCCTGGATTCCCTAAAAAAGGCCACATTTTGAGCCATTAGTTTAAGCCTAAACCAGTCATCTCTGTGGGAAGACTGGCTTTAAACCAGAAAATGTGTCTTCTTCTTTGTCAATGGTTGACTCAGAATTCTCAGCAGATCCGCTCCTCCTCCAAATAACCGGAGTTCAGTGGCACTTTTGTTCTTCATCCCACAATCTGTGACACACACACACACACACACACACACACACACACACACACACACACGCGGACAGTTTTTGGTGAGTGAACTTCACCCTGCTCCTTATGTAACACATCTCCTTCACAGCTGTGGCGACATGTGCAGCGTGGCCTATTTGAACCCTCTCTCCACTCTCTGCAGGGAGAAGAGCGTCAAGGATGGAATTGATTTTGCACAATTATAGATTTCACAGTGGGGCCGACACAAGAACTCATAGTATCTGACTCAAACCAGAGCTAATGTTCAATTCAATTCAGTGTAATTGTGTATGGCCCTAAATCACAACAGCAGTCATCTCTCAGGACTCTACAAAGTTGTTGATTTGCCAACAACTGATTAGAGAACCAAACTGTTCGAACACAATAAATGTAAAAATAACAACACACACAACAACACACTTAAGAGCCATTGGTCCATAGATGACCACAGCCCATAAATGTCCCAGATCTTCACTCTCCCTCCTGCTTCGGTGAGGAACCACTCAAAAACCACAAAAATGTGAGAAAGCTCTGGTCCAGATTGAGAGAGGGATCCACTCTGAGAGATGGACAGGCTGTAGACCCAGAGCAATTGTCTGCCTTAAACAAAAGTATCGCCCATAAAGTAGTAGAGGGTCTAAGGACAAAGGGTCTATTCAACATTAATTCAGTTTTCTAAATATCATATTGAATACATTTTATACAGACACCGTTTGAGGGTAGTTACATTGCCATTCTTCCGCTTCAGCAACGGATGAAGCGGAAGAAAATGTATGGATGGTATT